CCTTTTGAGGGAAGCTTCGGCTACCTGCAATTCAAAGCAAAATAAAACATCACGTTGGGAGAGATGTTGAGCGAGTTCAACCGCTCCTTCACTATAATCTGTCTCGGTTAAATCAGAAAACCTGAGCCAGAAAAAATACAAGGATGATGAGGTTAATAATACTAAGTAGAGTATTAACGTAACGTTCTAATGGACATGCGCTGGTGTGTAAATGTTCTGTTGAAGTAAGAAAATTATCAATGATACGGCCGTAGAGACTCATATCTCCAAAAGTCATCATGCCAAACATGACTTGGTGCAAGAGTGAAGGAAGAAAGTCAACACAAGATCTATGCAGCAGCAGACAAAGCCAGTCTACAAAGACATGACTATATCTTGTTTATTTTGAATCCAACATGATTCTCATTTCTTAACTTCTCAGACGTACCTAATGTCAATCAGCTAATATAAAACGAAGGATGACATAACATAGCTACACACTTAGTATTAGTAACAGAGCTTGAAAAAAAAATGTTAAGAAGCTCCCCCCCTCCTTAGCAAGCTGATGAAGAAGTAAACCATTTCCAGTACCGAGGTCAAGCACATTCCAGCTAGACAAATACTTGTCAGCCCGATTATTCACCTCACCATTATCAGAAACAGACATCTCCTACTTAGAAATCTCAACGCACAAGTCTTTTGTCCAAGAAGTAACAATCTACATCACATCATCACCAAACCTAAAGTTATCACAAAAAGGAAATGAAACAAGTTAACAAAACTTCCACTAAGCTAATGACCAGAGAAGTAGAGGATCCTTAACTTACCAAACCTCGCCGGTATGGCCATGCTCCCTAAAATTAGAGAGCTCATCAGAGTAAGCAGCGTCCCAATAGCTTTGGAGACCAAGCATTGACTATCCTCCATCATCTGGCTCTTCCTTATCAGAACTGAAACACTCAACAGATTTAGTAAACCCTCAGATCTGGAAAAATCATTTTAAATCTCCATTAACAAAATCCCTAATTCTTCATTCTTATTAGCCCTAGCTTTTCTGCGATTTCCGGAAAGTATACCTGTAATCTGAAGAGACGCGGAAGTTGGCGGAGGAGAGACTCTCGGCTGCGTCGGCGTGGCGCTGATCGTCGTCGAGAGTGCTTCTGTACTCGCTCTTGATTGACCATGAATCTGCTGCAATAGATCGATCGTCGTCGGAAGCCAAACTGTCGGTAGTTGTTGCTCTAGCCTGTTGCTGAGGAAAAAGACAATTACAACTTTAACTTACGAATCTCCTGTTAATGAATCAAATCAAAAAAAGAAAACAAAACTATTTTATTATATAAAACCTGGAAAAAATAACTTAAAATATTTTGATGAAAATTACAGATATACAATAGCATTTAATTTTGGATATNAAGCCAAACTGTCGGTAGTTGTTGCTCTAGCCTGTTGCTGAGGAAAAAGACAATTACAACTTTAACTTACGAATCTCCTGTTAATGAATCAAATCAAAAAAAGAAAACAAAACTATTTTATTATATAAAACCTGGAAAAAATAACTTAAAATATTTTGATGAAAATTACAGATATACAATAGCATTTAATTTTGGATATGCAATTTTAGGGCACTTACACTCAGTAAATTAACGCGCCTAATTTTTTTCATTTTCCCGCGATAACAATTATAGCGTTTTTAATTGATAAACGCTATAAACAAAACAAGTGTTGATATACAATAGCAGAAATACCAAAAACGCTATGCTAGGATGCTATCAATACCCACATTTCCTGTAGTGGGCTCGTCTAAAGAACATTGTTGGTGATTGGAAGGAGAAGTGGAGGGTAAAAGGGGATGACGCAAAAATAAAACCTACCTCAGCAATGATGTTTGGAATGGCTTGAAAGCTTTTTGGATGAAGCCTGAGTTAGTACAGAAGTCCACCAAGTACTCTGCTGTCCGGATGACCCGTGATGCTGATGGTAACCCGCTAGTACCTCATACTTCCGAACAGACTCCACAGCCGGGAGGGCACTACAAATTGTAAGTCTTTGATCTTTCTTAATTTTTATTAAATTATTGAATGCACAAATTTAATCAATTTGATTTTTTTTAATATAGGCTGCCAAAGAAGGAGCACCACTATCTCTCGCCCGACTTTACAAGATAACACACCAGCATTCTGATGGAACTTTTGCGCACCCTCAAGCAGAGAAGATCTACAACAAAGTAGAGGCTCGGAGCGAGTAGGTCCAGACTCAGCTGTCGCAACAAAATCCGGAAGGTCCACCGGTCCAGCTTTCCACCATCGAGCAAGACAAAAAATTTAAGCAGGTAAAATATTTGATCTTTTGTTTATATACATTTTATTTTTATTTTTAATTAAATTTTCACATATGTACTAACTAATTAATATTCATTCATCATTTGAAGGTTGTCCCGAAGAAAATGGGATGTATAGTTGGGATCAGGACTGCCAACGATGTCCCGAGGGCGAGAGCTGAACACGCTGCAAGAATGAAAGAAGATTCCTCTCTCCGGAGGAATTTGGCAGCTGCCAACCGAGCCATAGACGAGCACAAAGACAAATTTAAGACTATGGCCAATATGCTCGATCTGATGATGGAGAACTCAAACCCGAACCCTGCCGTTGCCTCTGCATGGCAGGCTCTACGTCTGACCTTGGTCACCGACCCCACTCCGGAAGAGCAGGTGGATTTAGAACGACGTGCGGGCCAACATACTTCCAATCTCTTGGACGAAATAAACCTTAATACTTCGTTTTTTTTTGTTTTAATATTAACTTGCATTTTGAATATTTCTATATATTATGGATCTTATTTTTATGAAATATGATTAGATATATTTTCTTTTTAATTTATCAAATTTTAAAACAAAAATAAATTTTAAATATTAAAATATTTTTATTTTAATTTTTTTCAATGAAAATAAAAATTAAAAATAGAAATTACTTTTTGTCGTAAATTGGTCTCTAGTTTAGGACTAATGAGCATTCACTATTGATGTTTGCTAGTCGTCAATGTACGACTAATTTACCTCGAAAGTCGATGTTGTTTAGTTGTACATTTACGACCAATTAACTACGAATTATTTACGTCACGTTTACGACCAATTGGATAACGACTAATGTATGACTAAACGTTTTATGTCACTCTTACGACTACGCGTCCTTCGTTTAATTTACGACCAATTCACCAGTCGTAACATTACAACCAATGTATGACTAATCTCTGTAGTCGTAACATTACGACCAATGTGCGTATAATAGTGATTTATGACTAGCATATAAAGACGAATCACATTTCGATGTTAGTTGGTCGTAATGGTCGTATTACGACTAATGAACTATCAATCCTGTAGTCGTTAAGGACGTGTTTTCTTGTAGTGTTCGAAGTGAAAAATCAAATTCAAATTTAACTGTTTGCGTTAGAAATAAAAATAAGTTGAGAATTTAATTACTTCTGATGTTAATAATAATCTAAAAATTTTAAAATAGTATAAAATTTTCTATAATTTGTGGCATTAACCTTTATTTTATAGATTATTTCAAATTCAAACTTAATTTGGTCTTAACAAATATTTTGGAAATCTAAAAATAATTTATGCATTTCAAAATATTTTAAATTTAAATCAATATTTTCAGTTTCAATCCAAACCGTAGTTAAACTGGTGATTGGATAATTCAATTTTGATTTAAAAAAAATTACTAAAACTTGAAACTAACCGATTGAATTGATTGGTTAGTGATATGTAATAGTTAAATCTGTAAAAATAAGTTTATTTTTGTTGTTTAATATATTATTTTAATTTTAATTTAGATAAATAATTTGAAAGAAAATTTTGAGAAATTATTAAAATGGATGAGATCTAAGATTTTGTATTATTTGGACATAAGATTAATTATAGTTTTATTTGAAAAGATAAATAATAGTATAAATAAATGAGTATATTGTTTGGAAACATGGATAGTAGTATAAAGAAATAAATATATTATTTGGAAACATGGATAGTAGTATAAAAAAAGGAATACTAATGATTTAATATAGGTTTAATATAAAGTAGAAATATGTATTTAATTTAAAAACTTACAAAATACATTTTAAGTCTAACCTAATGTTTCTGATTTAATAAGATAAATATATCAATTAATGAATAGCTTTTATTTAGAAAATCTATCAACATGGATGTGTTAGGCACACACAATAAATGTATGATGCATCAGAGTTTCCAGAAGTGTCTCTTTGCCCCTCCAAATGGGTATCAATTTTTATTAAAATTAGCATGCATCTAAAGATCTGCTAACATATCTTATATATTAAAGCAGAAGTCATGATTTTACTTGATGTGTGATTTTTTCAGTTGAACCATTCTTAGATATTTATAAATGTATTTTCTTAATATTAATAATATATCATCTATGTAACTATTTTAATTATAATATCTTTTGATATCTTTTCATTTTAAATATAAATATATATATTTCAAATTTCTAACAAACTTGTACAAAAATATTTTTAAAAGATCTCAATTTTAAAATCTTATCTAATTATTTTCACTAATTTCGTAATTGATAATAAAATATTATTATACATTAATGTATATTCAGTTATTGTTTATAAAATAAAAAAATAAAAATTTATCCTATTTTCTTTATTTTATAATCATAATCTATCATATTCAATAATTGTTATATTGAATTAAATAGAATAAAAGTAAACTAAGGTTGTAAATGAATATATTTTGTATTAAATATGTTATTTTGTGCATATATTGATCTAATTATTAAAAAAATTAAATTTATCAAGATAAATATATAATAAGAAGAGACAAATACATGTGACGGTTTAAAAATTGATTAAGTACATCATGTAAAATTATTATTTTTAAAATAATTACAAACCTTTAAACATATGCTTAACTTTAATATATATATATATATATATTAACAAATATCTACAAAATATATAAATGAAATTAAACACCCGTGCGGTTGCGCAGATTAAAATCTAATTGTAATTAATCCAGAAGCGGTAGAAAATTAAGTGACCAAATCACAATCAATCCCTAACTTAGGCTACAAAACCTCAGTCATTTTCAAGTACACTTGTTGATCAATAAATCTTTTTTTTTTTGAATATATGATCAATAAATCTTTTCTAATGACTTTCAATTAGTTGAATAACACAACTTCGATCTGGTTGCCAACATTAATCATCTACGGACTAATTCTTCTTCTATTTATCATTGTTTTCTTTTGACTTTTGGTTTTAGTTTTAGTTTTCAAAGTAGATTAAACCTTAGATAATACAGCTATTGGTATCTCTATTTAGAAATAGTAAAGACAAAGATGCTCGAAGGAAAACTAAAGTCTAAGAGCATAATTGAGTACATAACCCACAGAATTAAACTATTAGTACCCAACGTCCGGATGGAAATATATTAACTTATGAAACATAAAATTCTTAAAATCTTAAAGTGAGAGTGTTTCACTCTTTCTAGAAAAAGAAATAAAAATAATATATATATATATATATATATAGTAACATTAATGGAACTCAATTAATAGGGATACTATAGAGGAGGAATAAATAGTTTAGGTGCTAGAAGGGATATGTTTTAGAATTGGATCTGTCACATTGGGAAGTGGTTCTTCTTAAGAAGGCTTATATTGCTCATTTTGTAAAAAATGAGCAAAACTTTTTGAGTATCATATTTTCTATTTTATTAATATAAAATAGAAAAAGGTATTGCTATTTCTATTTATTAAACATCATTAGTCCGTAATAACAAACTTCCAAAATGAATCAGTTTATCATGAAAAGGTTTGTTGTTCCTACCTCAAAATGTAATTTAGCACCATTCATAAGAAAGAACTAAAAAAATCTCTAAAATAAAAAAGTTCAGAAAGACAGAAGAAAGAAGAGAGCATGAACCCCCCCCCCCCCTCTAAGATCTCCCAAATCCCGATATACCAGATTGATATCTCTTAGATTGATCATGAGTCGATTAATGGACTAGGATAGTTTAATAACATGGGAGGCAAAACTTTCGGATAACAAGAATGCCGTAAGAACTTATAAGCATTTCATTTAGAGATAGATGGTTAGACATTAATTTGTCTTTGTAATAGAGGCTTTTGGATAGTCTGCTTAGAAACAGATTACTCTTCTAGATGATTGAGAATCTTGGTGATTGGTCCGCTTTCAATACAGAGATATAGTATGTTTGTACCATTAGAGGATCCTTCGATTTATGTAATTTTTCTCTTATCCTCCGTAATCAAAATGTAGTTGCGGATTCCCTAGTTAAAAAATGTTGGAGCAAGAGAAATTTTATTTTTTCATGTAGATCACATCCGACTAATGATTCTAATTTCTAAGGAGTTAGAGGCTATGATCAGGCCCGACCTGAATAAATATTAGAGTGGAAGTAGAGTCTAATTATCAGCCTATTAATTAACACGAAAACACATGAAAATTAAATAAAGTAACATGCATCTCGAACTTTTCATCTCCTTTGTATGTGTTTCAACACTTAACCAACTATGCTACAAGAAATGTTGCCAAAAATAGCCTAAATATTATGTATTTAAGTTTTGGCTAGAAACACTTGCTCCTACAACATCTATATGGCCGGAGGCGGCCCTT